TAACAATAATGTCAAACATATTTAAGAATATTTGGAAAAGTCAAAATAATGCAAATGAACACACATTTATGTAAATGCATATTTATAAAATTTCTAAGCAATTATTCAAATTCTATTTACATTCCAACAATATTTATATAGAATTTTTTTTTATGCCTAATACAACAAATTCACACATAAAATATAAACCCTATTTCTCATGGTAAAATTAAATGGAAGCACAACTGCAATCTTGCAGTATGTTTTACTCATGAAAGTCGACAGGGACCACCCTGAACACTGAATGTTTCCTAGAAAAATTAGACACTGCAATCACAACCTCAGCTGAAGACTTCAATATTCTGATTTTAGTAATGCCTGGATCAGGGCTATTCAACTAAATTTGCCCAGGGACCAAAATGTTGAAAATGGGAATCGTCACGGGCCAGAGGCAGTAGCGGCAGCAACTGAATCTCGCTAATACAATGATCTGCGGGACACTTGCAAGGCCTCAGCGGGCCCGGGATAACACAAGCCTAGATGTTCACTGCATTCATCTAACTTTTCAACCATTCTTTTACTACTACAGTTCGTATAAAGAAAGATCCCACTTTTCAGTGCTTAACTTTAGAGCATTTCACTCATCCGGTGACAAACTTTCAATAAATATGCAACATTTAACCATTTCATAAAAGGCACCTTAGCATTTGTACTGCTTACTCTATACATAGGACTACTGATTGCCAAACTTCACCTGCTCTACTCATCTGTTAAGTTGATCCACTATACTGCTGTGGCTATTTAATTCTTTCAATACTAGATTACTTGGCATAAAAATCTTTCATGTGGGACAAAATTATGAATGCTAAATTGAGATTGGCCACTGCCAAATTTCTGGAGTATAGTTTGACCAAGTAAATTAAAACACATTATTTGATGACTATGACTCACAGGGATTATCCAACTACACACTATGCGATGTTTGGGACTGAAAGAGTTAACCTCATTCCATATTTCTACTGTTTTAATCTTGAGACTTGCTCTAAAACAGTGGTCTCCAACCTGGAGGGTGGGGCCTCAGGGAAGTTTCAAGGGAGGCACAGACAATATTGATAGTGAATGTATTTGTACTTGTAAGAATCAGTTATGCCAACATTTTTGTTTAGTTTAATTATTAAAAAATCAAATTTTTTTTATTATTATTTATTAAACAAAACAACAAAGGCATTTTGGTTATTTATTTTATATTCACCCAAAACACAGAGAATCCCAGAGTTCCTCACAAAGTCCAATATTATAAAAGATGTTATGGTTTGAAATAAACACTGACTAATCCTACCACCCCTATAATATTGGAGTTTTCGAGAACAAGATTCCCTGTGTCTGGGATGAATAAAAACTAAAGAACAGACATTTTTGTTTTCACGAACAGTTAGTACATCTACTGTTAAAAATATAATTAATATAATAAGCACACCTAATTATAGATTAAGAACACATTATAACCTAAACATATCTCCATACTATCCGTTTCCTTTTTTGTAGAATCTACTGACCTCTGGTGGGGGGTGGGCGGGCGTATCTTGTCACATACTCAGGGAAAGGGAAGGGGACCTAAACTTTAAAAAAAAAAAAAGGTTGGAGACCACTGCTTTAAGAGAAAGTTTTTGAAATAATGAGCAAAAAAGATGTTTGCAATGATGAGTAAAAGAGTTATGTCAGCACTTATCATATGTCCCCGGGGAGGACGTGGCGACAGACCCACTGCTCTTTAAATGAACAATGTTGTAAAATTGATCAATTAAACTCTGCTGAAAAAGGCTATTCAGGCACAGACATCACAGCCTATAGGTAAATGACAACATACCAACCACTCTTTAAAGGAAGAATAAGTCACCATGAGGGCTAGATAAAAATATTTTAAAGAATGCAATGTTTTGTACAGAAGTCTTATTTTAATTCATTGGTTGTATAGGCCTAGCTCTACTGGACAGAGTAAATGATGGCATTTTTATGAACAGGTGAACAAAGAACAGGGTTACCTTTTACTCTGATAAATACTTGAGTTTTAGAGGGAATTAAAGATATCTGACCCTTATCAATTAGGAAGGACTGGAATGGAACAAAGCCAAAAATAAAACTGCTGATAGAGAGGTTTGGCGATCATTCTAGCAAAGCTCTGCATCCCAAGGAAGAAAGAGGATCAATTATGTAAGTATTAATTAGGCATCATCTCCTCAATGAAGGTTAGATGCAGTGATCAACACACACAGTAAACTCTGAGAGACTATCACTTCAGGTTTTCTCCCTTATATTACTGTTTACCATTTGCTTCCTTCACCTTGCCCCTCGAGTGTGTTTTTCAGCTCTTTCAGTCCCAAGGAATGCATCATACATTAATAGGTTTTTACCTAGAAGCCCAGCGACTGCAAGATGTGCCGATTTTATGTTTCTGTGTACTACACCTTGGGCCTCTGATGCCAAACCCTCTGGGAGAACTAGTAACAAAATCAGGCCCAGCTCCGCCAAGCTACACACTAGCTGACCTGTTACTGATGATTGGTAAGGCTGGTCTACATTAGAGGGGTGTAGAATGCACTCTCTTGTCGGACCTAGGTTCAGTGTGTGGGGTTAGGGTCAGTTGTACATGTTATGGGGTGGCTAAAACCGCTCCCATCCTATAATAAAGAGCATGTGTGGTCTGTGCCTGAATAGCCTGTAAGACCAATAAGACAATACAAAGTTGCACCAACCTGACATCCCTGCCATTTAAACATACGCGTCTTAAAGGTTAAAATGCATGAATGAATGTCCAATCACAGCGTCATCGCCCGACTTCGTCACTCATAAGTGTGTAGCTGGGCAGAGCTGGACCTGAGTTTGTTACATGTCTGCGCCTCCCCCCCCCCCCTTTTTTCTTGAATAAAAGAGTTCAATGACTTTTATGTGGCAAAAATATTTTCCTGTTTTATTTCATCTCCTTTCCTTCCTTTTTCAAGACACTATTTTACTTTTAGCTCTCCATGAAATGCAACCTCAATATCCTTAACAGTACGAGTACTGTTATTTTAAACTTTAAAAAAAATGTGTAATGTTAACTTTACATAAATCTTAAAAGCAAAAAAATAAGATAGAATCTGTTTTATACTAAAAATGAGATAAAGAATATCCACAAATCTTGCAAAGATAATGCTGAGGATTTTTATACATCAAGCTAGGTAACTATGGAACAATTATCTACAACAGCAGACAAGCAGCAATTATACATATAAATTAGTTTAAAATAGGAGACTGAAATATGAAAGTAACAATACACAGCATAAATGGACAAAAAGAGAAACATGGGGAAATAAAATAAGTGAAACCTTTTTAAAATAAAAACTACATTTGGTAATTAATTATTTATTTTACAGAACACCAGTCATCATTGGAAACTTTATTACAATGACTCTTACAAACAAAAGTAAGGATTAATAACCTCTTAAAGCTTAGAAAATGCATATCTAAATGCAAGAATAGTGATGGCAGTAGTATTCCAGAACTATATAATTTAACAAGAAATCATGGTATATAGTGCACACTGATTTCTTCTTTTCGTGTTCACCGCTGTAAACTCTGGCAGAAAGTTCTGGTTGTTCATCCACTTCTGGACATTAGTCTTGTTCCAGAACTTGAGTTTTGCATGCATATCTGTTTTATAAATCAGGTTTACTTTTATACACCCTGTTGGTTCCTTGCCTCTCAGGCAGATTCACTCTTTCAGCTGCAGGTAAGTTTACTGACACTCGTCATATCTTTAGAACTTGTTACTTTAACTAACAACCTTTGTACCTAGATAAGTTAAAAGTAACACAACAAGACAGAACGAGTAAAGGTGACAGTTGAGGCCTAGGGATTCTGTATAGCACCCGGATAGAACACACAAGTCTTAGGAGCTTTGTACAGCAGCTGGGTGGAACATACAAGGCTGGAAAAGTAGATCATATCAGTAGAAACTAACAAACACATGGTGAGTTCATTAGGACTGAAAAAGTTTAGGCTCTTGATTTACTACCAGAAACTGTAGGCCCTTAAGCAGTACCTGACCAAATGGAGACCATCAATTACTAAATAGGTTATGCTCTTCCCGTAATCACAAGAGGAAACTACTGCTTTCAGTCAACCAACAGCTGTTAATTTTCTCACTGGAATAACCTGTTCAGTCCCCAGAAGATAAAATTTATGATGAAACCAAACAAAGGTATAAAATGGCAAGCTACACTGCTTGGACCACACAACAATAGTTCATACTTAGTGAATTGCCGGGGTCTGAAAGAATTATAAGAGTGAAACAGAAGCTAAGTTTTCATGGTAATATACAGTTAAGGAATGTAATTTAGTTTATAGAACAGTTGAATATACACCTATTAAGTGTTATATGGATATAACTATGAAAGTAAAGGTGGCATTGACAACAGCTAACAATATTCTTTGAATATGACCAGTGCATGAGCACCTGTAGATTTTACTGAGTGAGAGCAAATGTATTATTGACTTATCTAGATCACAAGCAATAAAATCAATAAAGTGACTGACAAAAGTAATGACAATGTGATGGCAGCAATGAACATTTTTCTTATTGGGACTATTTTGCAATTATCCCTGTATCTGATTTCACATTCAATGGTAAAAGTAAAGAATAAAATAAGTAGCAATAACTGGATATTGACAAAAGTAATATTCTTTTACACACACACAAAGCAACCAAGCAAGTAATTTATTCCACGCTGTCAAAAGTTACTAATATGTCTACTTTCATACATTAAAAAAGGCAAAAGAGGGGAAAGGCATCTTCTGCTTCAATACAAGTTCATATATACTACCAGTTCGGTTAAATTTTTAGTTCTGCCTGTTCTAATACACAATGGAAAAAAAAAAGATTGCAATTTGTGATCCGATAATTTGACATGACTGAAAGCAGCATAAATGTTTGAGAGCATGTATATCCCTGGATTGACTGGTCATCTAAATAGCAGTTGTCATTATTCAGCCTTCTGCTGTTTGCCAGATTTCACAATATAGGTTGTAATAAAGAAATGTGCAAACAGTACAAAGTAAGTTAGGTACATGATCGAAGAATATTTCAAATTTTCATAAGTTTGCTGGCAGAATTCTCCACGGTTTTTGATTTGGTAGATCCATATGTTGATAACAACACCTATGATCATCTGGGTCAGCTGAAGTGTTGTTATAACCATGTTAACATACTTTGGCATCCTGAACTGAAGAGCCCTCAGAGCATAATATGAGTACATGAATGAATGTACGGTATAGTTCATGACCATAAACCATCTCCCAGGAGCTGTGTGATCAGTGTAGCTGTACCAAACGTATATTAATACGGTGATATGGTGGTACCAATGCAGGAATATAAGAGGCTGCTTTCTTAACACAATAAACACAGTGTCCCCAAGCTCGTATACCTTGGACACGGTAAACATGAAAGCCCAGAAACTTGTAACTCCTTTGAAATAAGTCGGCACACATACTGAATACTGCAAACTGTGATTTGTTATTGTTGAAATCATTTCTGGCCACGTTCTGATAGCCCCAAAAATGCTAAACAGTGCCAATATACCACTCCATAATGCAAGGAACGGACGCAATTCATACCTTGGTCGATGCTTCATCAAACTCTGCCCTCCAAAAACCACTACAACATAGATTATCGAATATAGGAAACTGTCTGTCCATCTTTCGAGCATGTAATTTAAAAACCTTTGCTCGTGCCAGTCCTTCTCAAAAGCAAACACAATGCTGTAATTATGTTCACCTGGTTCCATTGGAGCTCTATTCGGCGTGCCTGTCTTTCTCAAGGGTATGAAACAACAGTGCTCAGCATGTGTAGACTCGTGCCAATGCACTACGGCAATTAGGACAGCCGTGAATGAGTACGTCTGCTAAATGTGGAAGTTAACATCCGTGTCTTGATGTATGGCCACATACGATTGGTCGTTCTGATGAACTGAGACAGCCTAACCAATCAAAGTCGTTCTTACATGCCGTTCAACAAGATGGCGACACGACGATGGTTCGGTAGATCAAGGGGTAACAGGCCACGCATTTGGTGGTTCAAATTCCACGTGAGGAAATGGTGTCCTTGGTGTAGTAAACAGTGGCTGGGATCTGAAAAGAATAATTCGTTCAAAATGCCCAGCTGTTCGTCCAACAATCGAAGTCATTCTCACATGCAGTTCAACAAGATGGCGACACAACGACGAGTCTGAAGATCAAGGGGCAGTAGGCCACGCATTTGGTCGTCGAATTCCACGTGAGAGAGAGGTGTCACGGCGGTGGTATATAGTGGCCTTCTGGCCAGAATAAAAATAAGCTTATAAAGTTCACATAATCATTGCACAAATGATCTTACAAGTATTTTAACAAGTTAGCCACCTGAATGACGGTCGGTAGATCAAGAGACAGGCCACGCAGTTGGTTGTAAAGATTCCACGTGAGAATGTCACTGCCATAAAGAGAAATGTCACGGTCGTTGTTTTATTTTTTTAAAGGATGTCATCAGACTTAATTATTTGTTGAAAGATTCCGACTGGTCATTGCGTGGCGCGTTTACTTGCACATACGCACACATTATCAGGACACATGGGGGGGGGGGGGGGGGGGGGGGGGGGGGGGTGAAAGGTTGTCCGATCGACTGTAAGCTCCTTACTAAGTGGTATCATCGTGTCATCGCATCTTGACCCTCTAGCTAGAACCTTGTGGTGTCGAGGTGAGGGGTGTAATTATTAATTATATTTAATTGTTCACAAGTGTGTTACTATCCTGTGTCCGAATCCGCCCTTTGAAAGATTTGAGTACAAACGACCACACAACAAAAAATGTATAGGAAGCTGCTCATGTTTTCTTGAGACCTACATTTTTTGTGTGTGTGGAGGGGGTAATCACCGCTCAAATGACTAAGTATTACCAAAAATAACGGATGTTTACCATTATTCTTCAGTAAGAGAATCTTTAGGAACATTTAGGTTGGTTTAGAGATGAGTATATCGCCACGAATATTTCCCCATGGAATTTATTTTTTTTACTTCTAACCTCCCCCTCAACGGAGTATCGGTGGCCCCACCCTAGGTTCTGCCCTTTGCTATAGGGTGCATATTACACCATGTCCCCCCATTTGTTGATGCCGCATAGGCTGATTCTCTTCCGTTTTTTTTTAATGCATTTATTCATTTGACCTGTGGGTTCCAGTATAAGGGTATTCTAGTTATCTTGTTATCAGGCTAAAGTAGTCTTACGAAGATCACATTTCGGCCATTCAGCATCTTATCGGGAAATGGCTATCACTTCATGATCATGTCATGATGACACAATTGTGTCTTACACGATAGCCCTCATTGCAACAGCCTTTAATTGGGACCTTGTTTAGCTACACGAAATGCCTATTTATAGGACAGATGCGACCATAATACAGTGAATTGCCTGTTACCTTCGTAAATTCTCTGAAGTCCATATCCTTTACGGTCACTCGTGCACAAAGAAACGCTAACGAACATTCACTATTCGCTTTGGCAAAATGAGAAATTGGCGATGGCAAATACCGGTACAGCAAATCAGTTCTATGCGAGCATTATTGAGTAACGTCAGTGTTACAGAATAGTAATACATACGATTGAATGAATTGACGACGATCACTGCCTCACATAGAATATCGTGCTAGCGCGCTTATCTGTTTTTCTGCATGGTAATACGAATGACATTTTCTAGCTTTAACATTTGGGGATGATCCAATTACATCTGAGAATCACCTGTCGCTGTGCGCCTATTCCAGTAGGGAACATCAAGTTACGCGTGGTGTCACTGTAACGGGTTTGCTGATTATAACTTCTATAAGGGATGTCTGGGTTTTGTCCTGCTGAAAGAGCAGCACATCTGGTGGCGAAGGATGTTAGATTCTCTGGTCTCAAGCTGGAGGGGGAAAGTGTCCTTTGTTTATGTCACAAGGCAGTGATCGGCGAACTCAGTAGTTAAAAGAGCCAAAAATCAGCAGCAGGACGATTAAAAATGTCGTGAGAGCCAAATTTCGTTTCAAGAACCTGTCAAGAACCATGTTTTTTCGGAGTCAAAACCGATTTGTGACCGACTTGCCGAGCCGCACTCAGGTCGCTGAATATTTGCCGCGATTTGCCGACCACTGACTGGGAGTAGAGCAAAATTATAATCTTTCCGAACTGAGTAAGAAGTAAATAGAGCGAGGAAGGTAACTGACCAACTCATTTCATATGTCAAGATCTATAATATGTGAAGACTTGGCACTTTACACGAATGGCGTGTCATAAATATAAGCAATATATATGCAATGTATTTTTTTTAAAAATTGTTCAGTTAACGTTAAGTATTCTTTTCATAGGGTCCTTGTCTATTATCTCCCCCCATTTCAAAGATAAAGGGTCAGTGTAATATCTTGGGGGTGTTCCAAAAATAGACATTTTAAACAGTGATAATATGGAATAGGGAATTTCCGGTACATTACGTGGCGAAGAGTGTATTGTTTGTTGTATTTTGTCATCATCATCATCAATTACTGCCGTTAAGCGGCGTGGGGATCAATAAATTGCATTGCGATCTAGTGCATTTGTGTTTTGTCATCATCATCATCTACTCCTGCCGTTAAGCGGCGTGGGGAGGAATAATTTGCGATCCAGTGCGTTTATGTTTTGTCATCATCATCATTATCATCAGCTTCTTCTGCAATTAAGCAGCGTGGGGAGGAATAATTTGCGATCCAGTGCATTTGTGTTTTGTCATTATCATCATTGTCATCAACTTACCGTAAAGCGGCGTGGGGAGGAATGATTTGCGATCCAGTGCATGTATGCTTTGTCATCATCATCATTATCATCAGCTTCTTCTGCAATTAAGCAGCGTGGGGAGGAATAATTTGCGATCCAGTGCATTTGTGTTTTGTCATCATCATCATCTACTTCTGCCGTTGAGCGGCCCCGGGGGGGGGGGGGGGAGGGAGATAATTTACAATCCAATTCATTTGTGCTTTGTCATCATCATTATCATCAACTACTTCTGCCGATAAGCGGCGTGGGGAGGAATAATTTGCGATCCGCCGCATTTGTGCTTGTCATCAACATCACTATCATCAACTACTTCTGCTGTTAACCGGCGTGGGGAGGAATATTTTGCGATCCAGTGCATTTGTGCTTTATCATCATCATCATTATCATCAACTTACCGTAAAGCGGCGTGGGGAGGAATGATTTGCGATCCAGTGCATGTATGCTTTGTCATCATCATCATTATCATCAGCTTCTTCTGCAATTAAGCAGCGTGGGGAGGAATAATTTGCGATCCAGTGCATTTGTGTTTTGTCATCATCATCATCTACTTCTGCCGTTGAGCGGCCCGGGGGGGGGGGGGGGGGGAGAGATAATTTACAATCCAATTCATTTGTGCTTTGTCATCATCATTATCATCAACTACTTCTGCCGATAAGCGGCGTGGGGAGGAATAATTTGCGATCCGCCGCATTTGTGCTTTGTCATCAACATCACTATCATCAACTACTTCTGCTGTTAAGCGGCGTGGGGAGGAATATTTTGCGATCCAGTGCATTTGGGCTTTATCATCATCATCATTATCATCAACTTTTACCGTAAAGAGGCGTGGGGAGGAATAATTTGCGATCCAGTGCATGTATGCTTTGTCATCATCATCATTATCATCAGCTTCTTCTGCAATTAAGCGGCGTGGGGAGGAATAATTTCTGATCCAGTGCATGTATGCTTTGTCATCATCATCATTATCATCAGCTTCTTCTGCAATTAAGCGGCATGGGGAGGAATAATTTGCGATCCAGGGCATTTGTGTTTTGTCATCATCATCATCTACTTCTGCCGTTGAGCGACGTGGGCGAGGGTGGGGAAGGGGATATAATTTGCGATCCAATTCATTTGTGCTTTGTCATCATCATTATCATCAACTACTTCTGCCGATAAGCGGCGTGGGGAGGAATAATTTGCCATCCAGTTTACGCTAGGTTGTTTTGTGATTTGTGTGTTGAGAGAAATTGAAACAGCTGAAACATACCAGTCATTTTGGAACTGAAGCTTCAACTTCATCATCCAAGCGAAGTTTTTCCTGTGGATTTTGTGAAACAGACATCAGTGAAGATGAGGCGTTGATTCTATAAAGTCATATCAATAGCTGTTTAATTTGTGACTGTTTTCATTTTAATGTTTATTCTAGATCTTTCCCGCGCAAATCTTAATATTTCTATATATTTTTTACCCATTTCTAAATGTTTTCTTTCAAAGAAAAGTGATTTCAAAGAGGTAGGAAATTATAGGGAAGAGAAAAAGGGGGGGGAGGGAGGTGGGGAGGGGGGGGGGTAAGAAAGAACAAATAGTTTATGTTAGCTTTACAAAATCGATCACAATAAACAAACAAAGGACGTTGCGGCGATTAGTCTTCATCGGCACATAAAGAACAACACAGGACACACACATAAATATGCTCTAACTAGGAAGTGACTACATAGGACTCTAATGTTTAAAATAAATGTTACTCATCTGTGTCCCTGGCGATAAACTTCGTTCAATAGGAGGAATAGGACAGGTACTAGACTATATATCATCAACGCGCGAACAGGAAGCGAAAAATTGGTTCGGTATACCCGAGAAATGGGCGGAGTAGACGCCAACAGAGACAACAGCGTTCACTGAGTGTCTAAAGGGGGGGGGGAGGGGTTGGCAAATAGCGTAACCAGGGTTGGGTTGTAAGGATGACACTAGTACATCCGCATGGAATAAAAGTG